AACAAGTTCAGCCATCTCTTATTCTTTTTGTCTGGGTTTTTGAGGGAAGAGAGGAACACCAATGGGCTTTGAAATAACTCATCCAAGGAATGACCCATCCAAAAAAGCAAAGAGGACACAGAATTAGGTTATCACAGGGTAGTGCGAGCAAGAAAGGATGTGACTGGACTCATAAAACCACCAGGACTAAAGAGTGCCTCATAGCCCGTGTGTCATTTATTTTACAGCTGCATTGTATATTGCTAAGAGCAGCATAAATTCTAAGGCAAGGCCAGATATGAATAAAGATCAGATTAAAAGCTGGCTCGCTCCCATTGTTCACCATGCCACACTGAGGTCACTGGATCCCATCTTTCTGCTCTGCCTCACAAATCACTGGCACCAATTACATCACTTAAGTAGGAGCTGACCAATTTGCACTCCTGACAAATTAGGGACCCAATTAAAGCAGCTTTTAATAAGCTAGAAACAAGCACCCAGGCATAAAATGAGGTCTGCCGCCTCACACTACAAACTGATGACTCCTCCTGAGGTAGGAAGCAGCCTGGTGTGCTTAGAGGAAAAGAAAAGAGGGAAAGAGGAAGGGAGGGAGCAGACACCGACACATCTACCCCAGACACCCATATATATACATATACATACATATATATATACATATGTATGTATATATATATATAAGCTTTTTGGTCTCACCACACTTTACAGTATGGATAAGCTGATCTCTGAATGTGAGTGTCTGAGTTTACATATCCAAAACTGGAGGTGGCTATTTTATTAGTAGTTTCATGATGTAATACATGAATTCACAAAAGAATAGATGATTCCCCAGGATGACTTAAAATCATTTAAATTTACATAGAATTTACTAGACAACTTTAAATTATTTCAATTTATATATAAATTACTGATTACTTATTAAAGAAAAAAATGGAGCTGTCAGGACAATTTTGGGAAACATCTTCCTTCCTGGCTGGCTTTCTTTCTGCCTAGCACTTCCACAGACTGGACAGGGACTGGGCCAGCTGAGAAGAAAAGGCCTCCACTCAGAGTCTCACAGGACATACCAGCTGCGTTGGTAGAGTACGTGTTACTCAGTTAGTATTCTCCCTGGAGAGACGGTACAGCCTTGATGGAGGAAGTAAATCACTAAGGGTGGGCTTTCAGGGTTCACAGCCTTGTCCTACTTCCCAGCTAGCTCTCTGCTTCATGTCTGCCCTTGAAGAGGTAATCTTTCCAATTCTTGCTCCTGCCACCATGTCTACTGCTTATTGAAAACTCCCATCCACCCCTTCCCATTATGGACTCTCCCTCGGAAACCATAAACCCAAATAAACACTTCCTGCTAGGCTGTCTTGGCTGTGTTATTTTATCACTAATATAGGAAGTATCCAATACGTTAGCCCCAAAAGGGACAATGCCCCAAGTCTTTGGAGGGATGGAGACTTTGATGTGGGCATGGCAATATGCTTCTCACCTTACTCCAGAAAACAGGACTTAGCCCTCATTTCAGATGCGAGCAGCCTTACAGGGGCAGGAGAAGGACTCCGTAGATGGCAGACCACTACCATGAGGGTCCTCTCTGACCTAAAGACAGAGGCAGGGATTGCCGTTTTTCATAGAAGATGAATTGAATTTTTTTATGACAGTTTCACTGAGTATTAAGCAACATTTTTTTTTCATGTATATGAAGTGTAAATTTAAGCACTTTGTTAAGATAATAAGATCACACTTGCTGGCCTCAGAAGCTCAATAGGAGGTAAATCTAAATTCCATTCCATTCCACAGGACCGAGACATTAAAGCATGTAAAAAAAAAAGTTGTCATTTGCTATTATACTAGTTAATTTGCAGGATGACCTTGACACACGTGCTGTAACAGCGAAAACGTATAGTCATGCTCAAGTATGGAGGTTTTGCTATTTCTCCTGTAATTACATCTTCACTGATAACTATGCAGAGGAGAGAAAGCAAAAAATGAGTTTAACTTAATTCTGCCCAGTCAAGGGTACCTTATGCCTAAAAGGTTTATAACGAATTAAATGGCTTTTACAGCTTGAATTTACTAAGTATTCGCTAAGGCTAAGCACTTTGAGAACTCTATTCATTTAAACACAACAGTCCTATGATGTGGGTGTCATTGTCATAAAGGCAGGAATCCAAACTCTGAGACGTTAAGGAAAGGTCTTATTGACTGAATGTAGAGACCAAAGGAGCCACGGGCCGCATGCACAAGAGAAATGCTCCGCTTTAACCATCTTCCAAAACACAGCTCTAGCACTCTGATTCTCTTCGCTCAAGAACTGCAAGCGGCACCTCCCGACCGTGCATGTGGCTGAGGGTCTGAGCCCTAGTGTTGCTACAAGCCACAGTCTTTTAAATATGATAACACAGTATTGAATTTGAATATCTTGGATAAAATTCAGATGCCATCGTTACAGAACATTTTAAGAAATGTTAAGGTTTTTCTTTTCTGATATCTTTTTTCTTTTTAAAATTTATTTATTCGCATTACATCGCAAATGAACTCCCTCCCTCCTCTCCTCCCAGTCCCACCTTTCCACCCTATTCCACCTTCCCCAGTTCCCTTCTCCTCAGAAAAGGGGTGCTCCCATCACCAATCTGTCCCTGCACATCAAGTCCCATCAGGACTAAGCACGTCCTCTTCCACTGAGGCCCAACAAGGCAGTATAGCTAGGGGAAGTGATCCAAAAGCAGGTCAGAGTCAGCTTCCCCTCTCCACTTACTAGGGAACCTATATGAAGAGCAAGCTGCCCATCAGCTACGTGTCAGGGGCCTAAGTTTAGTCCAGGCCTGCTCTTTGGTTGGTGCTTCAGTCTCTGTGAGGCCCCATGGGCCAAGGTTGGTAATTAGGGTTTTCTTTACCACCTATGCAACTACCAACCACAGTTCAGTCTATTGCATATTATTAACATGGAAAATATCTATTGCAATGTAGCTAACAACCGAGCCACTGGGTGACTGTGTCTGATTGTAGTAAGTTAACATATCTCAAATTGAAGTAAATACTCCTGTCCATTCTCACAACTTACAAATGGCCGATGGATCCCAGCACCACCACCCCCCAAAAAATTTCACCACATCTTTCCTTGTTTAGGTAATCAATGAGTAGGCCACAGAAAGGCTGGACCCATTCTTAGCTAAACACCAAACATTTCTGAGTGAACACCGTTTTACGCCAACAAGTAAGCCAGTATTTGCACACCTATATGCATGTTTCTTTGTGGACCTTCTGAGAAAGGAACAAAATGGTGTCCAGTATTGCTTCTCCACATGAACGTGGAGCAGGTTCTCTATCTGGGCCCTGCCTCTGATGGCACCTTCCAACATATGTTTTGACTTTTGTAAGAAGGAGAAGATACTGCAAATGCAATATTCATCTTCAGCAGCAGTGACTTCCTTCAGGGCTCATCTAAGTGATCTCTGAACCTGAAAGTTTACAAGGGAACCACTTGAGGCACTTTTAACTTTTGAGTGTTATTTACCAAAACCCTATCACTTTATAACTCTTGCTGTAAGGTCAGACCCCATGTTCTTAGCATAGCTCTGGTGAGGGCCTGTGTGTGTTGTTCATGTGTGTGTGTGTGTGACACAACCTTTCTAAAAGGCTGTGGTGGTACACACCTGTAATCCCAGCATGCAGGACAATCACAACCTCGAGGGTAGCCTGTAACTATATAGCTAGTGCCCATCTAAAAAGATTTTTTATCTGTGGCATGACATTGTCTTTTTTTTTTCCTACGGAGCGAACAATAACACCTCAGCTTGACCTGGCTCAGTTATCTGGACTTTCTCTTGGAAAAGAAAGCCAGCATTCGCTAGGTGCCTACCCTTGCAATAAGCATTTTACCTACACATTTGCTCCTCACGATTACCCATTCAGGCAGGTTGCCTGTTATCTAAATGAAAAAGATTAACGTTCAGAGGTCGTAAGTGCTTTGCCTCGTGTGCTCCATGATGAAACTGGCCCAACCCAATTGACCAACCCCAGAGAGTCATAAAGTATATGTTCTAGAGTTAACTGCAGGCTCTCAAGAAAAAGATTTTCTTTTGTTTCCTTTATTTCATTAGAAAACCTGAATGCTGCCTGTTTTGTTGTTGTTGTTGTTTGCCATCTGAATGTGAACTTTCATCTTTTAAACAATGCCTCACTCGCTACTTACATTTTTATAGAAAAATAAAGACAGAAAAGTATCAGACAAGGCATTTTCCGAAGAGTTTGCTTGGCATACCCTACTCCGGGGAGCATCTGTCTCATCCCTAAAAAGTCACATGTAATCAAGAAACGCAGGCAGTGGCCAAAACTACAAAGATTCCAAGTGACACAGGATTTCTTAAGAATCCCTCCTTAGCAACCAGGAGAGAGAGCAGAGGCCAGCACTCAGCAGCAGCCTCACTTTCTCCGCTGAAAGGCGGGACAGGCTCTCTCCCTTTAATTCCTATTCTAGTGCTTTCTTTAAAAGTCTCCTTTTTCATCTGTGCCCTCGTCCCACCATGCCCCAGACAGTCTTAAGACTCTCACACTGAGTTGCCTTCTCTGAGGAGCAGAAAGAACAATCTTTAGAGACATCCCGAAGGCACTGCAATTTGTGAGAACAAGATCCTAACTCTTACAATGCAGGAGTTCTGGAGTGTTGTCCGGCCACAGTTTCAGATGCCAATCCCAAGTGAGGGGTGTTCACACTCATTTACACAACCAGAGAACACAACATTTCCTTTATTTCTACTCCAAGCTCTGTTCAACCAAAGTCACTTCATTCAGTGAATGTCTGGAATTACAGACTCATGAAAAGAAACTGTTAGAGAAAGAGACTGTGCCCTCCACAAAAGCTAATGATGCCAGGAACAGGTGTGGTTTCCAGGATCGCAACACACGGTGCCTCGAGGAATACATTGACCCAGCCCTTCTTAAGCAACCCCCATACCATCTAAGTTATTCTCAAAAAGTATTAGTGAAACAACGGTGAGGACATCCACCCTTACCTTTCACTAAGTAAGAAAGGCTGCTTACAAGTTCTCTTCCATTCAGCTGTGGAGACACTTGCGGTAGCTGGAGAACCCCAGGAGACACTTCCTCAATCTGCTCTGCTCCTCTGGCCTCTCCCTTCAGCTCCAGTCAAACATTAACCACAAACATTTTTTTATTGATTCCTGAGAGCCACTGAAAATCATAAAAGGTATCGTTACGTTCAGTCCAGGAAAGAAGTTCACCCATTCATACTGGACATGCTTTCAAAGCAGTTGCTGGGTCGTTGTTGTTGTTTACTCTATGAGCCCAATTACAAGTTACGAAGTCAAAATGATGAAGGTGTCTTCAGCTTTTTTCTGGAGTGTGCGCTCTGTGGCATCAAAGAGAGTTGTTAACTTTTTACACAAACACCTAGTGTAGTATCTGCAAAGGAGAGTCTTTGCCAACAAATATGTGTACGGGTTCCATGGAAATGCAAAAGACAAGGCTCCAAGTCTGATGGCGACGCAGCCCACTGACAGCCACTGGCAAGGATTTTGTAAATGATGCAGGCAGCATGCTGAAAGACACAGCGGGCTGCACCACTTCTGAAAGCCAACGGTTCCAATCAAAGACTTCATGAAACAACTAAAACTTTCCCCCAAACACAAGTTAACCCAACACACACAACTCAGGGAACTGTCTGGCTTTCCATTCTTATCAAGCACTCCAGTCAAAATGTTGTTATGGTTTTTGTTTTGTTTTGGTTTGTTTTGCTGTTTTACACTAATGCCACAGACATCTTAAATCAAGGCTTCAATCTGACCGATGGCTAATTCCCACATTTCAGTGGCTCTGGGAAGCCGTCTTGAAAATATGAAGCCATGCCAGTCAGAGGTCACATATGTCTAGCTTTGCCCTGTTTCTGGGGACCTTCCGAAATGTGTCTGGGTGTGTCCTGAGCTGCTGTTGCCTTGTCCTTCCATTACTGGGTTTAGGGCACTCTTGCTGGGAGCTTCCTCCCTCCAGGATCACCTGAGCAGCCTTTCCTGAGCACTCTAAGCCACTGAAAGAACGATCCTACACACTGATAGCCTAAGAGGGAAACTACTCTATTGCAGATGGATAGCAGCCTTTTTGGTGCAGTAGAGGGTGTGGGAACAGCCCTTCCTCCTCAGACTTGTGGCCAGTCTCCCTGTATTTAGAGAAGTAAGATTAACAAGGCCAACAACTTCTCAAAATTTGACCATCTCTGCTCTCCCATTAGCTAGACAAATGACCTTGGGCCACAAATGCAGATAACTTCAGCCTGCCCGATGTTTCACTTCCTAGAATCGATCAGTTGCATGTCCCCTAATAGGATGGCTCTGGAGGGAGCAGGCTTCTTGCCTAGTAGTCTTTTAATAATGTGTGTAAAAAATAATTTTTAAGTCTACAAAGTTGGGAGGGTGTGTTGTGGTTCCCCCCCTTCTTTGGTTTGGTTGGGTTGGGTTGGGTTGGGTTGGGTTGGGTTGGGTTGGGTTGGGGTTGGGGATTTTTTTGGTTTTGATTGTTTCTTGCTTGGAAAATAGAATTCACAGCTAGATAGCTTTTCAGATTATTCTTGTTTTAAGAATACCATGCTAACATGCTCAGGTCGTGTGGGCATATCAGTTGAATGAGTCTTCTTGGCTAGTCTTCTATGAATAGATTCCAGGTTAGACACAGAGAACAGAGTATGGAGAGATTTTGTGTCTGGGTGGAGTCACATAGCCTGTGACAACACAGTCGGGCCTCTATCCTACCGAGTCTGTCTGATTTGAAACTATAATAGCCAGAATCTACATGTCCCTCAACTAAAGAATGGACACAGAAACTGTGGTGCATTTAGTTCAGTAATTAAAAACAAGAAAATCATGAAATTTGCAAGCAAATGGTGGGAACTAGAAAAGATCAGCCTGAGTGAGGTAACCCAGAAGCAGAAAGACACACATGGTATATACTCACTTATAAGTGGATATTAGACATATAATATAGGATAAATATATCAAAACCTATAGTCCTAAAGGAGCTAAACAAGGAGGACCCTAGAGAAGAGGCTGAAACCTCACTCAGAAGTACAAACAGGATGGACATCAGAAGTAGGAGAATACACGGAACAAGACAGGAGCCTTTCACAGAGGACCTATAAAAGACTCTACCCACCAGGGTATCAAAGGAGATACTGAGACTCATAGCCAAACTTTGGGCAGAGTGCAGAGAACCTTATGGAAGAAGAGGGATATAGAAAGACCTGGAGGGGACGGGAACTCCACAAGGAGAGCAATAGAGCCAAAAACCTGGGCCCAGGTTGGGGGGGCTGCAGAGACCAATACTCCAACCAAGGATCATGCATGGAGAAGACCTAGACCCCATGTTCAAAAGAAGCCCACTGGCTGCTCAGTGTCTAAGTGGGTTCCCTAGTAAGTGGTACAGGAGCTGTCTCTGACATGAACTCTGTGGCAGGCTCTTTGATCAGCTCCCCCTGGGGGATGCAGCCTTGCAAGGCCACAGAGGAAGATGATGCAGACAGTCCTGATGAGACCTGATAGGCTAGGGTCAGATAGAAGAGGAGGAGGACCTCCCCTATCAGTGGACTAGGGGAGGGATATTGGGGGAGAAAAGAGAGTGTGGGTGGGACTGGGGTTAATATGAGAGAGGGGGCCACAGCAGGGATACAAAGTGAATAAATTGTAATAGTAAACAAACTAACTAACTAACTAAGGCAGCATTCATACCTGGACCCTTTTCTTCCAGATCCTTGCAAATAACAAGGTAAAATCCCCTCCCCACCTACACTCTTGCCTCATGGGCCCATTCTTACTGGGTGATAACCATGATCCTGCTTGTGCGTCCCTATCTTAAGCTACTTCTCTCCTTGCCTTCCAACTCAGAATTGGTTGCTTAAATTCTGAAAAGTCTAAAACCAGTCATCTAAGTTGCATGTGATTGGGTTTCTGAACTGCTGTTTTTGTGCTCTCTGGAGTAAGAGGTTCTTATGGTTCTGAGATCAGCGTCAACATTTATCAGACCAGTATTCTCCCAGACTTACTCCAAACATTGATGTTTCACATTAACCTATACGTGGGTCAGGGCTGATAGCACGTTGTTTTAGAAAGCCATTTGTGGAGGGAAGGGCTACAGTCAGGATGTAAAGTGAATAAATAAGTTAATTTAAAAAAAAATCTATTTGCATGCAGTGACAACAGGCATTTAATACCTCCTTGGTAATAACCAGGTAACAACAGGAATAAAGAAAATGTGGGTAATAATAATTAGTGACTTTCTCTATGAAAGCAAAGGACATAGTGGGGGGTTGTTTGTTTGTTTTTGACAAAAACAATTGAATAAGGAATGAGGAAATAGCTCAGTCAGTAAAGTGCCTGTTGTTCAAGTGTGAGGACCAGAGTTTGGCCTCTAGGGCCCATGTAAAAAGCCATTCACGGCAGCATGTACTCATAATCCCAGAACTGAAGACGTGGAGACAACAGCATGTCTGGAGTTTGCTGGCCAAACAGCCTTGTCTAATCAGTCAGCCCTTAGCCCCAGTTGGGAGAGCCTGTCTCAGATGGACAAACTCCTGAGTTACACAATGCATGCATATCCACATGCATACACACATGAAAAATTAATAGTCAGATAAAAGAGTTTCATTGCAGTTGCTCTATACAGGGGATAACGTTCCTCCCTTAAGCCACTGGTTGCCAAACCAAAAGCCCAAGGTCAAGTGTAGGATGAGTTGTTGTTCAGGGGTGTCCTGGAGACTCCCCAAACAATACAGCCTGTTTCTATTACTCTCAGTTGACAGCAGAGCTTTATGCTAAGACCCTCTTACTGAAGACTCCACTTTGGTCATAGAACATGGAGAAAATCAGGTTCGTGCTGACCAGGAATCTTTCTCTCTGATGGCTAGTGTTTGTAGTGCCAAAAGATGCTACCCAGGCTTCTGGGGTAGAAAAGTCAGGAAGGATCCCATCCAGCTGTGAACCCTGAGAACTACAATTAACAACCAGCATGTCAAGACAGGCTCCTGGGTACAATAGCGGCACAAATGTCATTCGGGTAACCAACCACGCTCTGATTGTATTTAAAACCTGTTCCATAGGAGGAAAAACCTCTGGTACTGTAAATCAGACCATGAGTCCGGGGTTGGGAACCTCGTAGAACCAGGGGCAAATCTGCTACTACTATTAACATGCTATCAAACTGCCCTCTAACTTTTCATCTCTTTACCAGTAGATTTGTGCAGCTTTCAGACCTCAGCAGAGAAGTTTATTTGTGCAGCAGACAGAAGCTAACAACTTGGTCAAAGCGCAGAGACAAAGCATAGAATTCTCAGCCACAAATAAGATGCCTTTATCACTCCCCACTCCTAAGACTCAGAGATCATAGGGGGAAGGAGGTGGAAAGATTGTAATGGCCAGAGGTCCGAAGCGAAACAATGTCTTCTAGACATGAAGGGAACATTGCATTCGTGAAATCACAGCCCCAGTGGTCACCTACACTGGATCAAGCCAGGCAACATACCATCGTGGAAGGGGAGGGGCTTAGGAGCCCCAGTTCTAATCTAGGAGTCTCTTTTAGAGTGTGGTCCTTGGTAGGTTGACCACACTCCAGTGGATGGCCCCATTGCTGCGAGGATATGAGCAGCCCAAACTGGATTATGAGATAGAGACAGAGAGTAGAAAATTGGTCTAGATCTAAAATACGCTATTCATGTGTGAAATTCCCAAAAAAGGTAATTAAAATATTTTATTGTTAAAAACAAGTAAGCAAGAGGGTTTTAGCGCTTTTGTCTGTGATATTTTGGTCACTCTTCTAAAATTTGCCATAAAAAATTCATAAGTAATGTTTCTTTTATGAATAAGATTAATTAGCAAAAAAAAAGTATAGGTAGACTTGCAGAAGCAATATGAAAACTTAAAATTACTCTTAAAATGTAAATTGTGGTACATTTTTTATAGATTTAGCCTTTAAAACTCAGGAAACCTGGAATCAATGAATACTGACAGCTTCTATTTTCAAGCACTTGAAATAGTTCTCTAAATTATGTGTTACATGCTGTGCACCATCCTGTCAACGCCTCACCTGAAAGAAGTATATGGA